GCGAGCATTAGTTCTAAATTATGCCGCTGTGGCAAACAACCAATAGTCTGAAGCTCAATTTGTAGTATTTTCTGGACATTATTGCAAATTATGATTGCTTTATTCATAATTACTAGTAGTTAATAATGAAAATAAGTTATTGTCCTTTAAAGAAAAGAAAATATTCTCAAACTAAATTATAACATCAAATGAAACAAAATCCATAAGCATAAAATAACATTTGGACTCGACACTTTACAAATAATGTATATCATCATGATCAACTAATTTTATTTCAGTTACTGTTTAGTCATTTTTTCTATGCTTGGAGTAACTATTCTCACTTATTTTGAAGTCATTTTCTGTTCTGAGACCTGATAATTTTTAATATTAAAAGCAAATACGTATATCTGTTTATTATTAAACTAACAAAAATTTTGTTAAATTATTAATACTTATAATTAAGTAATGCATTATAGTAATATGTTTTGTTTCTGAATATTGAAAGTTTTCCTTAAATTTGAAGACATTCATTTTTATAGTATTTTAGTAAATCTAGCAATGAAAGTACTATTTAATATTATATCCATAAATGCTAAGAATAATCATGAATTTAATATTAGATAATATTCCTGATTAAGAAATGTTACTGAAATACATTATAATTAGAAATATCTAATTATAATGTATTTCAGAAAAAAGAGGAATTAGTTTTATTTGATGTTTATGAATTATTTGATTTATTTATATAATTGAATTTTATATTTCAAAATATTGTTTTTGAAATATAAAATTCAATTATATAAATAAATCAAATAAAATTCATAAACATCAAATAAAATCAAAAATTGTTTTTGGAATATTTGCAATCAGAACAATGAAAAATTTGTCTTTTCTTTCACTAGAAACAAACAAATTATTTTTTATTCTTTTTTCCTAAAAAGAAAAGGAAGCAAAGAAAGAAAATAATACTATTTTTTCTTGTTCATAAAAATATGCCATAATTATTGTAATTATTTTTGATGGTGGATCATATATGCGATTACTTCCTGAATATAAACTGTTTTTAAATAATATAGTTATAAATGTAATTGTAAGTTTCTATTGAAAATCTTATTTTAACATTTAATAATTTTTTTTTTTTTAACAAGTAAACAATGTAAATGTAACCCCCTTGTAATAGGGAAGTAATTCCCAATGGTCAATAAATGATGATGATGATATTTTTTTTTTTAAGGAACTTGACTTTACTTAAACTTTAAACCTTTAAAGATAATAATATTCTTTAATGTTATATATATATA